TGAGGGCAAGGGAAATACAGACTGGGTGGTGGAAGAAGATAGTTCTGAATATCAGCTACGACCATGTGACCAGCTGCAGAAACGAGGACTATGATTGTTATATTTCTTCATTGTATATGTGCATCAAATATTTTTGTTTCCTTCTGTTATGAACTGTGAAATGTAAATAAGGTTAATGCATTTCGGTTGTATGTGTGTTAGCGTATCATGTTAGGCACAAATATGGCTCTATAATTGTCCTTATTTAGAGATTATATATGGTTAAGAAGCTGTGTACAACTGCCAAGTTGACAAGGGGTGGACTGTGATAGTTGGAGCTGTGTGTCAACTTGTCTGGAACCCAGTTTTGTGTGGTTGTTCCCAAGATGGGATTGGATGACTGTGTTCTGAGTGGCCAATCTGCCCAAGGGGAGTTTGCCTAGGGGTGTGACCTGCTTCCAGGATATCTGGGGACATCCTGGGAAAAGGGACATTCTTCTGTGGATCAGAATTCTGTTGTGCTGCTTGCAACTGTTCGTGAGTGAGCAGTCCACCATTCGGCCTAGAGATCTTAGATTCGTCGTTCATTGGAGTCAACAGCCAGTATACTGCCTGCCAGCCTTGAGCTTCTTGGCCTCTTGCCGGGAAAAGCCTCCAGCCAGATGTTTGCTTCAGGGACTCTGGACTTGCCGGCTTCTATACGTTTGTGAGCCATTTTCCTAAGATAAATTTCTCTCTCTCTTTATATAAGCTTTGCTGTTTTTTGTTTCTCTAGAGAACCCAGTCTAACACACCGAGTGGTTGGCATTGGTTGCTGGACACCATCTAGTTCTTCTGGTCTCTAGGTCCATCATGTCCTGGGGCTTATTGTTACCAAATGTTCTTGGTTTTCTTCACTCTTCTTCACTTCTGACAATAGGAGACCACTAGCTGTATCTTAGATGGCTGCTTGAAAGCTTTTAAGACTCATTGCTACTCACCAATGTAGGATGTGGAGCAATGCTTTTATGTATTTTGTTGTGCCAACTGAGTCTGGTGTTCAATACTATAGTCCTAGGTCACCAGATCCGGTGGATCTCTCTCCCATGGTGTCTGGCTGTCCATGAGGAATTGCTCTATGTCTGTCTTCAGTTGCTTCTGTAGTGATTATGGTTATTTTGTATCACTGGTATCTGTGCAAGATTATCCTCAGCTGAATCTATCATTGGTATAGATTATAATCCTGTTCACTGACCCCCATCTGATATTCTCAGTTGTCT